TAATCCTGGTATTCATTTCTATCCTTTAACAGATCCTTTGTAATAAATTCATGATAGAAACTAAACTTTTTCCAGGTCCTGTGATGTATTCCAGCAAACAATCAAAACTAGGGAAAAGGGTGTGGGATGGGGACTATCCAATTTAGACAGAAATTGTGTATAACCTGGGGACTTTTCCTTTGAGCTTGGCCTCTGAAAGAGGGCTGTCTTGTGGGACTGTGGCATTTAGTGTCAGAATTAACTTGTAGAACACCCAGTTTGTGTCCAGTGAAGAGTTGAAGAATTCATTAGTGTGAAAAAACTCACACATGTGGTGTCAGAAGTGTGACAGAGACAGAGTCCCCAGAAAGCAGCCCTGGGTGCTTAGTAAAGCACTGGGTAAAGAGTAATTTTGTTTGTTTGTTTCTCCATGTGTGATTTAAAAAAAAGAATCAGAAATCAGTGGAAAAGAGATTTAATATTAGATAGATTTAAAATATCTGACTCATAGTATGAAGAAAAATAATACTGGATTCTTTTCTTAACACAATGCAATGAGTGGACCTCCCATAGATTAATGGCTCAAATATAAAAACAACCACACAATAACACTTTTTTTTTTTTTTCTGGTACCGAGAATCAAACTCACAACCTCGTGCTTGCCAGGCAGGCGCTGTGCCGCTGAGCTAAATCCCCAGCCCCAACCACACAATAACAAACCCAACTAGTATCCACAGAAGTTCTCCCTCAGGAGTCTTGAGAAAGGAAGAGAAACACAATGTGGCAGTACTGGAAGCTAATTGAGGAGAGTTTTAAGAAGGGGATAACTACAAAATTGAAAATGTAATACAAACAACTTACCAAGAAAAGCCCAGGTCCTCATGGATTCACAGCTGAATTCTACAAGATATATAGAGGAAATTTAATGCCAGTTATTCTCAGACTCTGTAATGGAATGAAAGGGAAGCAATTCTCCCTAACTCATTCCTGGAGGCAAGTATCACCCTGATACCAAAACCAGAGAAAGACCCAACCGAAAAACAGAACCACAGGCCAATCTCCCTAACGAACATAGATGAAAAATTCTCAGTAAAGTACTAGCAAACAGAATGCAGCAAATCATCAAGAAGATTATATACCATGGCCAAGTGGGATTCATCCCAGGAATGCAGGGTTGGTTCAATATACGCAAATCAATAAATATAATATCCCATATCAACAGAGCCAAAGACAAAAATCACATGATCATCTCAATAAATGCAGGGAAAGCTTTTGACAAAGTCCAACACTCATTCATGATGAAAACCCTACAGAAAATCAGAATAGATGGTCTTTACCTCAATCTGATAAAAGCCATCTATGACAAACCAACAGCCAACATCATACTAAATAGACAAAAACTGAAAAGCTTTCACTTTAAAATCAGGAACATGACAAGGATGTCCACTTTCATCACTCTTATTCAGTTTAGTTTTTGAAATATTAGCCAGAGCAATTAGACAAGAGAGAGAAATAAGAGGAATAAGGATTGGAAAGAAATTAAATTATCCTTATTCACAAATGATGTGATACTCTACATGGAGGACCCAAAAAACTCTACCAAAAGACTCCCAGAATTAATAAACAAATTCAGTAGCATAGCTGGATAAAAAGCCAACACTAAAAAAATCAATAGCATTCCTGTACACAAACAACAAGCACACAGAGAAATTAGGGAAACCACATCTTTCACAATAGCATCTAGAAATGAAGTACTTAGGAATTAGTCTAAGAAAGGAAGCAAAAGATCTATACAGTGAAAATTACAGTACTCTGAAGAAATAAATCAAATAGGATTTCAGAAAATGGAAAGATATTCCTTGCTCATGGATAGGAAGAACCAACATAGTGAAAATGGTCACACTCCCAAAACTGTTATACAGATTCAATGCAATTCCAATCAAAATACCATTAGTATACCTCACAGAGCTAGAGAAAACATCCCTCAGATTCATCTGGAACCAGCCAGGCCTAGAATAGCAAAAGCAATCCTGGGAAACAAAGACAAGGCAGGAGGCATCACAATCCCTGACTTGAAATTATACTACAAAGCTACTGTGATAAAATCAGCATGGTACAGGTGAAAAAACAAACCTGAGGGACAATGGAACAGACTAAAAGATGTAGGCACAACTAAAAGTTGTGCCTACTCATCCACCTGATCTTTGGCAAAGGGGCCAATCATGTTCACTGGAAGAAAGATAGCCTCTTTAATAAATGGTGCTGGAAAAAACTAGTTCTGCACATTCTGAAGACTAAAACTAGATCTGTGGGTATCACCATGCACTAAAAAATAAAGTCAAAATGGTTCAAAGATCTAAATATTATAAACAAAACACTAAATCTAATGGAGGACAAAGTAGGTAGAAATCTTGAAGACATAGGGGTAGACAGAGTATTCATGAACAAAAACCAAACTGCATGGGAAATACTTCAAAGAATCAATAACTGGGATTGCATCTTACTGAAAAGTTTTTGCATATCAAAAGAAATCACCAAAAGAGTAAAAAGAAAACCCATGAACTGGGAAAAAATTTTAGCTAACTGTGCTAACTGGACTTCTATCTAGAACATATAAAGAATTTTAAAAAATCAAGCCCCCAAAATTCAAAGACCCAAAACAAAGGGCATCTGAGCAATGGGCATACACACTTCTCAGATGAAGAAATACAAATAGCAAATAAATATATGAAAAAATGTTCAACATCATTGGTCACTTGAGAAATGAAAATTAAAACAACACTGAGATTCCACCTTACCCCAGAAAGAACAGCTCTCATCAAGAAATCAGTCAATAACTAATACCAGAGGGACTATGGGGAAAAAGCAACCATTTTCCACTGTTGGTGGGAGTGTAGACTGGTATAAGCACTATGGAAATCAGTGTGGAGATTCCTCAATAAACTAGGATTAGAAGTCTCATTCAACCCAGCTGTTCCTCTTCTGGATATTTTTTCAGAAGAACTGAAGACATCATACCACAGCAATATATGTGCACCCATGTTTATAGCAGCACAATTTATAATAGCTAAATCTTGGAAACAACCTAAATGCCCATCATCTGAGGAATGAACAAAAAAGATGTAGTATTTTTATTTTATTTTTTTATTTTTTATTTCTGTATTTCTGTATTTATTTATTTTTTGTACCAAGCATCAAACTCAGGACTTTGCATTTGCCAGGCAGGCACTTGTGCTGCTGAGCTATATCCCTGGCCCAAGATTGGGTATTTTTATGTAATAGAGTATTACTCAGCTATGAAGAAAGATAAACTCGAGGATTTCATCGGTGAATGGATACAACTAGAGACCATATTCACAAGTAAAATAAATCAGACTCACATATGTAAACACTGTACTGTCTCCTTCTTGTAAGAACCTGAAAGAGTAAATAAAATCCAAAAGCTACAATAGATATTGTGAAAGGGAAAGAAATTTCTCAAAGGGAAAGGACAACTGGGATGAAGGAAAGGAGAAAAGAAAGAAAGAAAGTAGGATATATGTCTATATCTATCTATACATATATATATACACACACACATACATATTTAATAGCTACAATAATTTACTACTAATTTCTGTTTTATTGAAAGGAATATTTCATGCTTAATTTTTTTTTTACCAATTTTACACTCTCATATTTGGTAATCTGAGCAACTACTTTGTTTTTTTTTTTTGTTTGTTTGTTTGTTTTTTTTTGTTTTTCTCCGGTACCAGGAACCGAACTCACGACCTTGCGCTTGCCAGGCAGGCGCTTTGCCGCTGAGCTAAATCCCCAGCCCTGAGCAACTACTTTGAAGACAACAATATGCAATATAACAACCATTGTTGAATTCGTATCTTGTTTTTTGAAATTCTGTATCATTTCTAATGTTTGTTTCATTTTTTAATTCTCTTTAAAATAAAAGTAGTTTCATCAGTTGAGAAAAGGAAGGGGACAACTATTGCTAAAAAAATTTCAGTGAGTATAAGAACTAAAAAGAAATGCATAAATCCAGCTATTAGGACATGTTGCATTAGGAAGTGGCAAGGAATCATTTGCTTCATAGACATATCTAAAGGATTGCAGCATGTTATGAAGTTTAAATGTCAAAGACTGATCTCCCTGTTCATTCACTTGGTGTGCACTTCTCTCCTCTTGCAGACTCTAGGAAGAGAAAATTAGACTGGCTCCTATGAGGGCAGTATTGCCAACCACTTAACTCCAAGTGTTTATTGAGATTTGAGTTAGGTTTATATTGCTGCTGTAATAAATTACTGTGAATTTTGTGTATTAAAGCAATAAAATTTATTAGTATAGAGACCACAAGTTAGACATAGCATAGGACTAAAGTCAAGGGCTAGCAGGGCTTTTGGGGACTTTGAGGTGACAATCCATTTTCTTGCACTTTTCAGCTCCTGGTAGCTACCTGTATTTCTTGGTTTTGGGGCCTTTGCTCTATGTTATGGGCTCTAGGTCTTCAGCTGGACTCATGCAGGACATTGCCATGGGATCCAGGCCCTCAGTTGGGTTCTTTGGTCTTTAGTGTGTGGAAAGACCAAAGATTCTTTGGCCTTTAGTGTGTGGAAAGATTTTCTGCACTTTTTGTATATGACTTTTTGGGTGACTATTATAAAATAATCTTATGAATTATATTGTTCCCCCTTGCAAACCATAAAGTACTACACTCCATTTTCGAAGTATATCACCTCCATCACTGCTTCAATCATCATGTTATCTTTCCCTTTTCTACAGTCAGATTTTCTTTTATCTCTCTCTTATATGGACATTTATGATTGCATTGAGTGTCTACCTTGATAATCCAAAATAACCTCCACATCTCGTGATCTTTAACTTTTATCACTTTTTCATGCTCTCTTTGACACATAAGGCAAACTTTATGAGTTACAGAGATTAGGATATAAAAATCTTTGGAGAATCAGCATTCAGCTTACTAAAGGGTCATAAATCAGAAATCAAACAATGAAATGCAATAACATAAGTGTAGCTCATGAAGGAATCTTTTTGTAATGCTCATGATTGTAAGCATCTAATGGTGATGAAGGGGAGCCCTTCCATTGCAATAAAGGCATAGCCTCTGTTGCTCTCTCAGGACTCTGAAGCCAATGTAGAATTTTGCTATAGGAAGGAAAGTTGCTTATCTTGATTGATATTTGATTGTGTGTCTTGAAGAGAAGATGATCCACTTCAAAATCCTGTCCTCCTTCTAGGCAATGTTACATAAGTTTTTGTAGCAGCACATTGTCACCCTCATCAAGTCTTTTTTTTTGCCTTGTTCTTCTTTGCACTTATATTTACACATGTGTGTTGAGTACAGATGTTTGTTTCCTAAAAATAAAGAAGCCTATTATAAGCGCCAAAGGAGATTATCTTCACAGTGACTTCCTGCAATTCACTGCTAAGAGGTAAAGGGTTTTTCATTAGGTCTGATCCCCAGGGTCCTGAGGGTCATGCTCCCACACAATACTCTAACTGGCTCTTGATACCAAACACTTCGATGGGAATTTAGAAAGTAATCCTTCTTGCCTCCCACTTCTATTCCTTGCCTCTCCACAAAGTAGGGATAACTGATGTTCCCAGGTACACAGAGTGATGATTTTTGGAAGACATTTTTGGAGTCTTTCACAGCCTCACTTACTCTTGTAGTAGTATATGGTTGCACATGCTTCATCATCTTTCGCAACGCAAGAGCCTTCACCTTGCATACACTTTGACTGTTGACTGTATATGCAGGTGTTACATCTCAGACTCCTAACTGCAATGTAGAGAGAAAATAAGAGTATTTAGGCTGAACTGTGATCTATGGGAAAATGAGATTACATCATCAGAAAAAGGCATTTGTATTGCCTATGACTATATTATGTATTCACTCTATCAGCGGTATTCATCAAATTCTTCCTTAATTTAGCTTTGTGAGTTAAGCTAAGAGGTGCATAAAAATAAGGCTGAGTCTCTGTGACCTGCATAGTGTCTACTTATATTTGAACACAAGATAAACACATATGAAACAGTTACAGTAAAATCAAAGATAGTATATAGTCATTCAGACAAACTATGATGCCGACTGAATATAGCAAATAGACAGACTACTATGGACTAAGATGGTAGAGGAATACTTTAGTCAATGACTTGAGTGTGTTCTTGATATGTAGGTAGAATTTGGGTTATGGTGTAGGGAGAGGCAGGCAGAGAATTTGCTGCATACTGGGAATCTAATGAGGGAGGGTCCAGAGATAAGAAAGAAAATGGAATGTTCAGAATGCACTGATTTTATACCCTCTACTGATGACCCAACAGGTATGGCCTGGCCTTTCTACCTTTCCATGGAATAACTGCCACCAAGTAGACAGAGAGGTGATTCGGGAGTCCCTGTAACCAGGAAGTAAGAGGAGAGGAGATACAGAAGAGAGAGATTACATCAGCACTCATGAGTCATTTGGATTTATGGTCTAAATCATGGTGATGAATGGGAAGAGGGTACATTTTTTCAATTTTTATCTGACATTCCAAGGTTAAGGAATCAAAATTTATATGGAATCCAAGAGGCTTTGAATGCTATTGACTTAAATATAAATTGATACTTGTGGCATTTCTTTACTCCAAAGCCCATTTTCATGATTTTGTTAAGATTGTTCTCACAAATATTGGTTGTGATCTCCTAATGTTAAATCTAATTGTCTTTGCAGGACTCCTCAGAAATTATCCACCTTCCCACTCACTTGACATTGTTTAGAGTGGTGAATGTGGATATACCTCATCTTTCCTCTTATTAAGGGAAAAGAATGATGTCAACTGTTGGGTTTTGAATATGTTCCACATTCTAGATATTATAACAGGTTCTCATAATGCAAAGGTAAGCAAGGCAAATATTGTTTCCTCACACATCTTGATATCAAGAAATAGTTGCATAGGTGGTGAGAACATTTCAAAAGGAAGAACTAACATAATTTAGAGAGCCAAAGAAAGCTTTTTTGGGGGAGCTGAGGCCTGCCAATGAGTAAGAGTAAATCCAGGTAAATAGGTGGTGTGTTGTGGGCAGGGTGAACATTTCAGACCTAGGGAGTAGCATGTCAAAAGATGCTTGTACATGGAGAAACAAAAATAAGAATGTAACTGGGGAACAGAGAATGGAGTAGGCTTTATTAGAATACATGACTAGGGAGCAAAAGTCTGACCTTCTGAGTTCTCATAAATTAATGTGGTATTCAGTCTCAAGAACAATAAAAATCTGTTGAACTTTAGGCAGGGTAGTGATTTGATGCTATTTTCATTTAGTAGGTCAACAATGGATGCAGATGTAAAAATCAGAAAACAATTTTATTCTTTTGTTCTACTCTCCTTTCAGATCTTTTTTTCTAAAGGCAGTTTTCCTGTTCCTGTAATTTCAAGCAAGCCTCATAGCTTGTCTACATTTACAAGAAAAAAATCTTGCCATCATTTTTAGCCATAAGAATAATCTGGTTTCAGTAGTTAATGTGTTGAATCTCATGTAATAATGAAATAGTTCTAGTTTCATGAAAAGTCCTAGTTTTTACTCTGCATTCACACCATGCACACTCACACACGTGGCGCCCATAAGCTCAAACACATTGTTCAGGTTTAAGTATTTATAATGGGCAGTATTTTTCAGATTGACTTTATGTATATTCAAATAAATATAAATACATATTTATGTCTTTTTGCTCCCCTTTTTATTGATGGCAGAATTGGCCCTTAGCATCTTTGAGTTCCACATCTGTGAATTCAACCCACAACACATTGAAAGTATTTGAAAAACTGTATCTATGCTGAACTTGTACAGATTTTTGTCATTATGTCCTACCAGTGGTGGTGAACCTATGGCACATGTGCCATAGAGAGCTTTTTGTATCATTTAAAGTTCTAAAAGTTTCACCATTACTGCAAGACAGCACAACAATGATTTATATAACACATTGTGTTAGGTATTGTAAGTAATTTAGAGATGATTTAAAGCATACGTGAGGATGTGTATAAATTATATGCAAACACTGCAATTTTAGATGAGCATTTAGGCATTCATGGATTTTGATATTCATGAAGGATCTGGAACTGATTCCCTAATGGAGTTCCAAAGGATAATTGTACATTATTCATAACAGACACTTTGATTTTGTTTGAGCACTTGATACTGGCTGCATAATATTCCCTGGTATCATGCTTTAATTAGCCACTTCCTTACGTGTAGTTTCCTGTACATTTTTATATTACTTTCTGCAATTAATAATGCTGAAATTATTTATTAAACAATGTAGTAAATATATTTTTATTTGTGCATTAGTATATTTATAACATAATTTCATGGAAGCAGAATTGCTGCATTAAATATAAATATTTATAATTTTGATACACATTGCCTAGTTGCACTCTGGAGGAAATATAACTATGTATAGTCTTGCTATCAATGCTTGAAAAATTCTTGGGCCAGGAATATAGCTGAGCAGCACAAGCACCAACCTGGCAAGCACAAGGTCCTGAGTTTGATTCCAGGTACCAAAAAAAAAAAAAGAAAAATTCTTCTCTTGCTTCAATGATGATATCATATCATGTTATCAAACTTTTGGCTGTTAAAAATCTGATAGGTGAAAAGTGGGATTTCAGTGTTCTTTTAATTTTTATTTCTCTTATAATAGATCACTGGCAGTTTCCTTTTTGATTTTTTTAATAAAAAGTAAATTTACTCATAAAGGATATTAGTTATTTGTAATATAAGTTGCCTTTTTTACATTTGAGCATGAAATATACTTTAAATATTATTGTGATCAAATTTGTTAATCTTTTTGTTTAAGAACAATAGATTTTTGAGTCATAGACAGAAAGGCCTCTCTCATTATTACACTTATGGGATAATCCCACATTTTCTTCTAATACTTTATGGTTTAACATTAAATGTCTTCTTAAGTGTCAAAGGATAATAAAATAGAAAGATTATTTATCTGATGCACATTTCATAGATAGAAAGCACAGAGTTGGTTATGTTTTTATTTAGTAATAAAGGAGGAGCATATTTTGAGGCTAACTTCCAACTAAAGTAGACATTTGTTGATATAAGACTGAAGCTCGGAACAGAAACCTGGGTAGAGATAAAAAAAGAAAAAATGGGGGCATTTCTACAATCAATTGTAATCGAAGCCATGGAAGTGGATGAATTGACATATGTGAGAGTCAGTGTATAGTGTCAAGCCTTTAAGAATCCTAATGTTTAGTGATCAGGTAGAATAAACAATTTTGCAACATATACTGAGAAAGCAGGCACACCTGTAATCCAAGTTATTCATGAGGCTAAAGCAGGAGAATCGCAATTTTGAGGCCAACCTGGATAAGTTGGCAATACCTTCTCTCAAAAAATAGAAATAAATAAACAGATAGACATACAGACAGATAGATAGGTCTGAGCGTGTAGCTCAGTGATAGAGTGCCTTTGAATTCAATCCTAGTGCTGGAAAAAACAACAGAAAGCACCGAGAAGTAGCCAAAGAGAGGAAATGAAAATTAAGAGTCTTAGAGAGAATAGAGGATAAAAGTATTTCAAGAAATTGGGATAAGTGTGGATGAAAAGTCAATTAGAATAAAGTCTAAAAATTATTGTCCCCTGTTTCTATGCAATTTGTACGTTTTCTCCTTGATTAGAAGAACATACATTATCACACTAGTATCCAGAAACACAGACTGTACTGTCTGCAGATTTGAATTTCAGTGCCTGAGTCTTGGAGAGTAGGAGTTTAGAGAATAACCTCTCCTAAGATGCCTTCCTTCACTTCCCGCTGTTGAAACTTACCTTCTTTAAGGCAGAGAAGAGAGAAGCTCAAGAGGAGCAAGGTATACATTTTCTTCATTGGGTGCTTGTTGGATGTTAGAAAGTGTTCTGATCAAGATATTGTAAAGATAGCCACTAGTTTCCTTTATGCTTTCTCAACTGAGCAATAGGGCCCCTTGCCTAGCTTCTTTTATAAGCTTAGGGGTGGAATTATAGCCAATAGACAGAAAGGGTGGAAGGAGCCTCTAATGCAGGCATGAGGTGGAACTGCCCTTTCTCCACTTCCTGCTCAGTGGGTGATCAGCCTGCAGCACTGTGGATAATAGAGGCTGCAGAGCACTGTCAGGGAATACTTCGGGCTCAAGTTCAATTAGATCTTTCTTCTCATCCTCTTGCCATTGCCTCTCCTCCCTCATTTACATCTCTTTCCTTTTTGTCATTTTTGTCGTGTGTGTGTTTAAGAGAGACAGAGAGAGACAGAGAGAGACAGAGAGACAGAGACAGGGGCTGGGGATTTAGCTCAGTGGCACAGTGCCTGCCTGGCACGTGCAAGGTCATGAGTTCAATTCCCGGTACTGGAAAAAACAAAACAAAACAAACAAACAAAAAAGAGAGACAGAGAAAGAGAGAGAGGGAGTGAGGGAGAGAAAGTTTTATCTAATGTGTGGGTTACTAATACAGCTTATTCCAGTTCTGAAAAATTCTTCTAATTTTAAGGCATGGGCAAGGGTTGGTTTGTTCCAAAGAATTCCCTCCGTGATACCCCTAGGCTCCTGACTTCCAGGGCTTTCATCTTTATTCCTTGGAAACTTCAAAACTTCCTGTGCCTTGGCATTTACAATATTGATAGGCACTTTGAGGTTCCCAGCAAATCTCCTGAGACTGAGAAATTTAGAGATGAAGGAGAAAATGCAAGATCCTCTCCAGAGATATTTTTGATGAGTTCCTTCTTAGGATCTGAACACTACATCTAGCTCTTTTCTTAGTCTTGGCTCTTCTAGTTCTAAAGCTAGGACCATATCTCAGTCATACTTAGCTTTCAGATAAGATTCTTGGTATTTACTATTTAGAGAAGCAAAGCTATCTGATTCCAACCTCACTTTCAGTTCCATTCTAGAAGAAACTTCTAGAAGATGATTTCTTGATGTACTTTCTCTCACCAACATCTCAACTTTTGTGGGGGAGATTTAACCCTTTCAGGGCTATTTCTGCCTACTCCGTGGTCACCTACTTTTTCTGCTTACTTCAGAAGTATCTATTTTCTCACTGCCCTTTTTGTCCAAGTGGCCCTGTTTGTGTCTGACTCCAGTGAACACATCTATACTTCATTTAAAAACAGTAAGTATTAAAGTCTTTCTTGTTTCCACCTCAGTCATTTTCTTCCTAAGTATTTGGTGCTTGGCACTTTCTAGGACTCTAATAAATATGGACTCTCCCCCTTTCCTCCTTTCATACTCTATCTTACTGAATCATAATAAGGTATATGTGAGGTATATATAACTATGAGCTAATAAGCATAATTAAAGCTCATAAGCTTTTTACAGATGAGACAATAAGCTTAGAAAGGTTTAGTAGCATACCCAAGGCCATAAAGCTAGCACGTAGCAAAGAACTTAAACCTAATAGTGTATATGACAAATTTATATTTGGGATAAATGATATCCTTTCCAGAAATAAGAATTCATGTGAGTGAATTTTTTTATTATATTTCCCACCCATTGAGGAATACATCTTTTTTTTGGTAACTTCTTGGAACTGTAGCATAGTGGACAAAAAATTGAACATTTTGGGGGTTAAGTACTTTGTATTATCCTCCTATTGCTACTATAAAAATAAGCTGCAAACTTGGTGGCTTAAAACAACACAAAAAAAAAAAAACAAAAAAAAAACAAAAAAAAAACCACAAATTTAGTTTTCTAAAGTTCTGGAGGCCACAAGTCTTCTGGGGCTA